TGAAGCTGATGACTTTTCGACCCCCTGGCCGAAATGAAAAAAAGGCTGAACTAACATAAGGCTTTTTTCTTTTTTTTTCCATTTTGGGGCAAACATTTTCTCCTCGGTTTTTTTAGCTTTTCTGGTGCAGAATTGGATGCTGGTCATCGTGAACTGGGTGAGACTTCTCGGAAAGACCTGTTTCAGAAGATATAAGCTTCAGAAGTTTTCAGACGCGTCGCGGTTCCTTGGGCTGAGCTCTGCTCCAACGAACTCAATCCATTTCTGGAAGTTCGAAGAAAGTTTCAACTTGAATTCTGATGAAGGTACGTGCTTCCATTGTTCATTCACTTGCTTCTATTCTGTTATGTTGTTCTTGTTTCTTTGTGTTTGATATCGAAGCTACATATGTCTTAGGATTTTCTCTTGCTTCCTCTTGACTGTTGGCGCGATCGAAAATTTTTGTTCGCCTTTGTTGTGCCTTGTTTCTCGATTGACTCGTACTTGTAACTTTTAAGTTGGTTGATTCCTCAATGTCGGAAGTGAGGATCGGAAGATATCATGAGGGTTTAATCAATCCATTTTTCTTTTTTTTAGAGTAGACCTTCGTTCTGTTTCGCTCGGTTGAGAAGAATCTCTTACTGACTGCCTTGTTCCTTCCTCAACTCTTTGCCTAGCTTTACCTGTTGTATTTCCCTGACTGTCTTTTCTCTCTCTTTCCACATATTTCATGCGCTTTCAATTTCGTTGATCACATGTTCTTCCGCAATCTTCTCCTGTTCGCGCCACCAAAAAGTTTTTTTGCTTATGTTGAGCTTCGCTTTCCAAGTAATACATTCATGTTTGTACTCATTTGAATCAGCTCTTCATTCTCTATCCTTACATGGTATGCGCTTGTTACTTCGTTCTTGTTTCGAAAAGTTTTTTTTCCCGGAATCTTCTCCTGTTTGCGCCACCAAAAACTTTTTTTGCTTATGTTGAGCTTTGCTTTCCAATCAGTACATTCATGTTCATACTCATTCGAATCAGCTCTTCTTTCTCTATCCTTATATGATATGCGCTCTCAGTTTCGTTCTTGTTTCGAAAAGTTTTTTTTCCGCAATCTTCTCCTGTTTGCGCCACCAAAAACTTTTTTTGCTTATGTTGGGCTTTGCTTTTCAATAACAACATTCATGTTCGTACTTATTCGAATCAGCTCTTCATTCTCTATCCTTATATGATATGCGCTCTCAGTTTCGTTCTTGTTTCGAAAAGTTTTTTTCTTTGTTCTGGAATCATTCAAGATAGAAACTGGTCGAAATGGAGATGAAGAGGGAATGGTTATCACTGAAAGGTAAGTTCATCTCTTGTTTCTCCTTATATGGTTTGATATGTTGTGTATGTGTTGTTCTAAATTGTTTCGTTGCAAATAAATATTCGGAATCAGAATGTCTTTGTGTTTGATATTGGAAAGACGGTGGGGAAGCAGTGTGGACGCGGGCTGATCCGAGTAGAACATGGGGGACTGAGATCTTATTTATCTCATCAATGTCCATATATGGCATTGTTAGTGACTAAAGTGTGGCAGGATAGCCGAGTGGTATACATGGGGATCTCACAGGAACATGGTTG